GCCACTGATATTCTCTCAGGGCAACCAGCCAGCATTGTTACCACACATTTTCTGTGGTTGTTCAGTCGAGGAATAGCCGATTGAAAATCTTTGACTGAAAAGGATTTGGCACCCTTTACTGTTTCTGTGATTTGATTTGCTGCGTTCCTCTCTTCGTTGTCCTGACGATAGAAAAATGGTGGTTCAGAAGCTAAAAAATTTTCTTTAGATATCGATTTACTTCTGGACACGAAACCCGCATCGTCATCATCTGGAAGTGAGAAGTCGTCGAGGTCAATCTCTTGACTGAAAACTTTTTGAAAGAAGTCTTTGACATCAGTGTCGGGTGTCGGTATTACTTGGTCTAATACTGTTGGCAAGACTGTATAACTGCCCTGCGAGGATGCAGCAGTATGCTGGCTGTCCCCAAAGAATATGCCATCTTGTTTCTTGGAACGACTGGAGTGCCTTTTAGTATTAACGAATTCGCTTTCAGTGCTTGAGCTAAATTTTCCTTGGACATAACCCAGTGACTTGCCCGATGAACCTTGTTTCTTCCTGGAATGTTTGTGCTTGTGAGAGCAACCTTTCCGAGTTTTTCTTGACTTAACTCCTGTTGAGAGCTCAGAATTTGTTGACGTAGATCTCAGGTATTTCATTTGTTTTCGTCTGGACTTGTGCAGACAAATCCTGTCTGCGATATCGTCTCTAGAGGATGGGGCACTCTTGGAAGCCGAGCTAACAGTACTTGTTAAAGAATCTGATCTGTTGAAAGAACAAACCAGGCAATGACAGGTAGAAGAGTCCCAGTGCTGAATATTCGCAGACGATCTATACGGACCGCGCAATCCACTTCCTGTTGGTTGCTCGGAGCTAGAATTCACACGCATGCGCTGTCCCGTAGATCTGTCACTATGTCTTGGGGTACCAGAGTTTTCTCTGAAGGCATGTCTCCAGTCGTCATCACTGCTGCCTCCGTTTGGAATACTAGGCGTTGACCTGCTTTTGAAAATTGAATCATGTGTGTGGTGATTGCGAAAGGCTGAAGCATTGACGAACTTATTTTCAGCAACCGCCTTGGTTACCACATTAGATTGTTGGAATGCATTGTGTCTTTCTCCGTTAACTACGCAGTCTAAGTTGCTCAATTGTTTAACTGTATTTCTGTGAAAACTGTCACAGCTTGTGTTTTGCGGCTTGTGGATATAATCTGCTGAGTGGCGGTGAAGTTTCCAAACTGGCAAACCGGTAACCCCAGACTCCGAATCACTTCTGTTTACATGTGGACCCTCAGAATCATCACTATCATCCTGAAGGTCCACTTGAATAACATGGGCACCGGATGAGTCGACGTAGCTACGCCTGTCTCTGTCTTGGTTGACTCGCTCATCCTCATACAAAACATCAGGCTCTTTGCATTGGTCCATATCTGGTGACTGCACAATTACACAAGGATATATGTGCCCCACGGCGCTAGCTATCGTCTGGCAGTAGTTATCAAAGCCTTGACCGGAACCAGACGAAAACTGGTCACATCCGATGTCCCGCCGTTCTCTGAAATTATCGCAATCGCGTGACGATGTCTCGTTTGACAGAGGCGTATCAGCAATCTGGACCATCGACGACGCTCTGGACACATTCTCGCGTTCCTGATTCTCCCGAATGTGCAAGTCCAGCTGAAGCTTGCCTCCCACCACAGCTCCGACAGAGGCGTCGCCACTGACTTGAGAAAGGGAGGTGTCTGTAGTTTTGCTGAAATCCATAGTTACCGGCAAGGCGACCAGTGACCTCTCTGTGTCTCTGTATGACGCAAAGAATTTCGCAGCGGCGTTCCATATTTTGACACCTGGGGTAGAACTAGGTGTTCCGTTCTGCTGGAATAAAAAAATAAAAAAAAAAAAAAGAAATTTCACAACTTTTCATATTTATCACCTTTTTAGAAAGGGCTTTGGGGGAGGGGATGGTGCATGGCTGGTGCACTAACTCCAAACAGTTTGGAATTTATTTGTCCCCCGCCCCCCAGAGCTCTTATTAACTTGGCCAGTCGCTCTTCTCCGTTAAAGTAAAATACTTTATACGGGGATTCCGAAGAAAATTCCATAAATAGGACACATTATCACATCACCAACACCATTAGAAGCACAACACAATTACAAGCAAAACACTATTAAAAACACAACACAATTACAAGCACAACACCATTACAAACACAACACCATTACAAGCACAACACCTTTACAAACACAACACTGTTATAAGCACAACAGCATTACTAGTGCAACACCATGACAAGCACAACACCGTCACAAGCACAACACTATTACAAGCATCACTCCATGACAAGCACAACACCGTTACAAGCACACCACTATTGCAAGCACCATTCCATGACAAGCACAACACCGTTACAAGTACAACACCATTACAAGCACAACACCGTTACAAGCACAACACTATTACAAGCACAACACCGTCACAAGCACAACACCATTACAAGCACAACTCCACGACAAGCACAACACCGCTACAAGCACAACACCGTTACAAGCACAACACTATTACAAGCACAACACCGTCACAAGCTCAACACCATTACAAGCACAACTCCACGACAAGCACAACACCGCTACAAGCACAACACTAATAAAAGCACAACTCCATGACAAGCACAACTCCATGACAAGCACAACTCCATGACAAGCACAACTCATGACAAGCACAACTCCATGACAAGCACAACTCCATGACAAGCACAACTCCATGACAAGCACAACTCCATGACAAGCACAACTCCATGACAAGCACAACATCAGCTGTGCTTATTATTCATGTTCTTCGGCAGTGGAAGAAACTTATCGAAATCTGTTTTTTACAACAAGGTAGTCATTTTCGGCACATTTAAAAAAAAATAGTATTATAAAAACCTGTTTATTTTTTCTATGAAAATACTCTTCGATTTGTCTCTTACACTTCTCAAGAACATGCATAAACACAGCTGGAGTAATGCTTGTATTGACGTTGGTGATATGTTTCTGTTATCATCACTTTAAATAAAAAAAAAAAATAAAACAGGAGTCATAAAAAAAAAAAAAAAAAAAACAGCCTGCGCACGATTAACTAACTGCAAAAGAAAGCTAGACAACAGCAGCAAAGGGCCAGGGCGGATAGGGATATTTAAACACAAAATACAAAAGGCAACAGGAGCTTTCATAGCACTAGGGAATTTGTGGAAATCAAAAGAAATGAAAACTAACACTAAACTAAATTTTTTTTTAAAATTTTTAGTGTCAAATCAATTTTGTTTGTTTGGAGCGGAAACAAGGAGATCAATTAGGGCACTTAGAAAAAAAAAAAAGAATAGGAGGACTTAAATGGTATGACAGAATCATGAATTTAAAGCTTTGGTAGAGAACAAAACAAGTTGAAGTGGACCAAGTAGTAAAGAAAATAAAGCTGGTGTTGGATAGGACACGCACTGAGAAAACCTGAGAATAATATAACTAGAATTTATTTGCACTGGAACTCACAGAGGCATAGGAAAAAAAAAATGAAGAAAACCAAAACACACACACACACAGACACACACACAAGGAGAAGGAAGCCATAGATGGAGGACATGGGAGAGCTGCAGGCGACAGAGAATAGAACGACTTTGCGTCAACTGGTTGAGTGCCTATGCTCCATTGATGGTTAGAAAGGCTTAAGAAGAATAAGGGAAATTGTGGTTATTGCTAAGAAAAATGAAATACAGAGTGTGAAATACAGGCAAACGGCAAAATTCTCAAACAAATCAACAAATACAACTATCATAGAGCAGTCGGAATATCCGATGCAAGATGCCTTGCAGGAATTAGAATAGGAATCGCCATGACAACATTGTCCTTTAGCAAGATGGAGTACATTTCCCGCGAGGCAGGAAATGCCAATAGCAAGGGGTAAAACGGTTGTTACAGAGCTGCAAACTTCTTCTTCTTCAGCGATCTCTGGTAAAAGCGCAAAATCCACTGTGGGTCATTAAACTGGGATGTCTTTTCAAGGTCTCTTAGGTTCACAAAGCTTAGTTGTCAGTTCTACGAAGTTGTTGCCAGATGAATCCGCAATCGCCATGACAGGATTGGACAGTCTAGCAGGACATGTTCTGGAGTCTGTTCAGCTCGAAGGCACTGGCAGAGAGCTGTTTGGCTCATACCTAATTTAAAGAGCTGTGTACAACCTGTGTTGTTTTATGGATGTGAGACATGGACAATTGGCAGCCAAGCTGAAAACATTTAATTGCGGTAGAGATGTGAGTTTTTCAGTAGAATGCAAAGGATATTTATTGAAGTATTAAAAAAAAAAAAAAAAACAAAAGCAGTTCTATCGAAACAGATACAAGTCATAAACTTATTTAAACAGTGAGAGGTAGATAGTGTATGTCTTTTGGCCATGACATTAGAAAGGAATGGACTTCAGAACTTGGTGGCAGTGGGCAGGAATGACGGAAGAGAGGAAGAGGAAGGTGAATACCTGAATGGCCTGACCAGACGGACGAGGCGAGACAAGAACACTGAATTATTCCGGGATTCTGGTGATCATGTGAGATGTTCAAGCATGAGTCTTCGCTTACCGGCACGGCACATTATGATGACGATAAGCAAGAAATATTCGAAGATCTCAACGGACTACCAGCCTATCCACCATACTGGACCACAAACTGTGATCACTGATTGATGAACGTAACCAGTGTCGCCTATCCTACGAAAGCACCCTAAAAGAGGTTCTGAATCTGGTTCTGAACAACGGATCAACATTATGGCACACGGGTGTAACCCATAAGTGCTCCGTTCTTCTTCTAACTCAAGTCCGGGTCTTAAGAAGCTCGGCACAGTGCACAGGATCCCGAAATACTCTGGATAGATTTTTAACTCCAAATTTTGCCCGAGCAGCGGCCGTAGGGCTACTCTTTTCGATTTCCAACTGCCAAGGGATTTTTTTTACGTGCGCAACAATACACACGGGCGCCTGATCTCACTACCCAGAGACTAGGGGGTATTACTAGAAGTCCAAGTCCACGTGGAAAAATCCCAGCCCTTACCGGGAATTGAACCCAGAACCTCTAGTACTCGAGGCAGACACCATGCCTGGAGACCTCGCAACCCTGCAAGAAGACATTGGTGGCTGGGTACCTGTAAAAATGTTGAGCAATAATATAAATACACACAGCTATATACCTTACGATTTGATCCCCCAGAAAAAACCGGCGAAGAGAGACTGATAACTGAGATGGATGGTCGAGTCAACGCTTTGAGAGGGAACGAGTTGAGGGTGATGGTTCCGTCAGCGTTCAGTATGTTGTCATCTGTATTAAGAAAAGCATGATGGCAATTGTTTGCAGTTGAAGCACATCTACCATGCTGGCGTGTGCCAAGCTCGAGCCACCTAATTACACAGTGAAAGTAAAGCAAAACACCCGTTACCACACTTTCATGTGTATTGGGCATCTCTTATCGTATCGTATCGTATCGTATCGTATAAAATCAAACAAAAATTCCAAGCTTAGTCTTTTTTTTTTAGCCGCCTGATGGCCTGCTTTTTCAAGGACGGTTCCTTTGCTATCTTATTATATTTATCTTCCTTTGTGGTGAGCAATTACACCTGAGTTTGTTCATTTGTTGCCTAAGTTCTGGTTTTGATGGGTCCTGATTCCTGTTTTAGTTGGCTATCCGCTAGCTGTTGCACTGTTCATCTGTGTTAGTACCAAGTCAGTCCTCAGCCATACCGCCGCGAAACAAACAGTCCCGCACACTGAGCGTCCTAAACACGGCTCCCAACAGGACGACTGTCACAATCTTGTTGTTGTGCGCAGCCGATTGGGCATCTAGGGGTGGATCTTTATTTATAGACCGAACAGCTCTCGGTGGGTTATGTGGTCACAGCGCCGCCTTTATTTCCTATTACTCGACCTTGTACCCATGTGAGGCTGGGTATCCGTAAGCCCCTGACTCCCCCCCCCCCAATATATCACGTTTCTGTCAGGATCTAAACCCACGACATTCAAATGCGCCTGCGAGCGTCCAGGGGCAAGACGACGGCGGCCGCCTTCGTACATGCCAGTCAAGGTTAAATGCCTCTCGATGTGGGGATGCCCCCCCCCTCCCCGGCCTTCACATCCCATAACACTGATATCAGGAATATGCCTATAATGATACGTCCGTGTAGATGGAAATTGGGGGACTTAGGTCTCTGGAACCTTCCAGCACCCCATCCCCTCTCTCTCTCTCTCTTACCCCTCCCCCCCCCTTTCCAAACAAAATACGGAAGCGAGAGAACTAAGCAACATACCACCCCACATTTGTAAGGGATCTAAGGCCCACCGCCCCCCCCCCCCCCCCCTCGGGGCCACACATACACACATCGATCCATATAAGTTCGGTTCTGAACTTTTTTAAATAATGCATTTCAGGACCGTGAGCAGATAAATAAAAATGTTGACGAATTTGATGGTGAATGACAAGAAAAAAAAAAACATTGTTGACGAATATGATGGTGAATGACGTGAAAAATAACAATGTTGACGAATATGATGGTGAATGACGTGAAAAATAACAATGTTGACGAATATGATGGTGAATGACGTGAAAAATAACAATGTTGACGAATATGATGGTGAATGACGTGAAAAATAACAATGTTGATGAATATGATGGTGAATGACGAGACAAATAAAAATGTTGATGAATATGATGGCGAATGACGAGAAAATAACAATGTTGACGAATATGATGATGAATGACGAGAAAAAAAAATGTTGATGAATATGATGATGAATGACGAGAAAAATAAAAATGTTGACGAATATGATGATGAATGACGAGAAAAATAGCAATGTTGATGAATATGATGATGAATGACGAGAAAAATAACAATGTTGATGAATATGATGATGAATGACGAGAAAAATAACAATGTTGATTAATTTGATGAATGACGAGACAAATAAAAATGTTGATGAATATGATGGTTAATGACGAGAAAATAACAATGTTGACGAATATGATGGTGAATGACTAAGAAAATAACATTGTTGACGAATACGATGATGAATAACGAGAAGGATAACAATGTTGACGAATATGACCGTGAATGACGAGAAAAATAACAATGTTGATGAATATGTTGGTGACTGTAAGGAGAAAAATAAATACGATGGTGACTGTAAGGAGAAAAATAACTCAATTCAAGGATGTGATTGTGACTGTGACAAGAAGGATAACTCTACTGATTATACATAGTGACGGTGACGATAAAAGTAACACAGATAATGATTATAAAAGTGATTGTTCTTGACTACAAGGAGGACAACCGGATGATATACACAATCATTGCAACAAAACACTGGCAGTGTTTAGACCAACCTTTGAGTCTTGGGACTTCGCAGCAGACGAACAGACTGCCGCACTTTCTCCGCAGGATATAGATGACCCCGAACAGCGTGATCACCGACAGGATTACAATTAATCCGATCCAGATGGGTTCCTTCAACAAACGTTGTCCCAGGGTCTCGCGGTTACTCCCCTCCAGTCTTTGTGTGCACATGGGACCTGTCAAGAGACGCACAGGAATATTCATTCACCAAGTCACCTGCACAGAATATTCATTCACCAAGTCACCTTCACAGGAATATTCATTCACCAAGTCACCTTCACAGGACTATTCATTCACCAAGTCACCTGCACAGGAATATTCATTCACCAAGTCACCTGCACCGAAATATTCATTCACCAAGTTACCTGCACAGAAATATTCATTCACTAAGTCACCTCCACAGGAATATTCATTCACCAAGTCACCTCCACAGGACTATTCATTCACCAAGTCACCTCCACAGAAATATTCATTCACCAAGTCACCTCCACAGAAATATTCATTCACCAAGTCACCTCGATAGACTCTTTTTAAAAGTATTTCTATCGTTACAAAAAACAACACAACGACAAATGATGAAAAAAAAAAAAACACATTCAGAAAAAGTGCCCACGCACACATATTTAAAAGATCGCCTGAGAATTAATAACTGAACCCGGCTTTGAGACGGGTACTAGGATACAGGAAATCAGACAATCAAGATGAACGAAGAAAACAAAAAAACCCAGCCCTAACACAAAACAAGTAGTTTATTAGGGGCATATCAGAACAAGTCATTATCAGCAAAACACACACTCCAAGACAGCACCGATTATTTTTTTAGAACAAACCATTTGGCCAAATAGAACGACGGTGGAAAGTCAGCTCTGCGGACCACGAATCAACTAAAACACTGTGAAATATATACAAGAGACAAAATTGATGATTTAGACATTATTTCAGGCGAACAAAAAAAAGAAGAGGAAGAAGACTGAACAAACAGAGAGACAGTTTGAGAACTATATTCACACCTGTTACCAGGAACATGCCTAAACTGTTAGGCATGGTCTCCGGGATATGGGTGCTTCTCTTCCAAATAGTGAACAGGCACTAAGATGTTATTTTAGTGGACATGTAAGAAGAGACCAACAAATGTTGAAGTTTCGGGAGGGAACTGAACTTCGAATAACTCCTAAGAAACTCGTATTTATTTCACAACTAGGTTAGTTGCGTATCCTTTACAGGAGGACGTTGCAGAACCAACCCCAACAGCCCCTGGCTGTTGCGTGGTTTCTCTAGGCAAGTTTACATCCAATAGTTTGCCATTGCTTCCTGGACGGTCGGCTTTCTTGATACCACTGTCGAAACCAACGCAAGGCGCATGGCCCGCAGCTGGGATCGAACCCAGCATCCCGGCATTACAAAGCGTTCGCATCGACTTAGCCACAGAGCCGACTATTTCACCACTACACCACAACTATTATTAAACTGATACAGAATGACTTAGTAGCATATCCGTGACAAGCTGTCCACCTTCCACCACACATGTCTACGTAAAATTATCACAGTGTTCTGGCCAGATACAATCTCAAACGCTAAACTACTTCAAGTCACAAACCAAGAAACTCTACACAGTATGATAACAAAGAGAAGATGGAATTGGCTTGGCCACGTCATGAAAATGAATCCTGATATACCTGCCAAAACAGCTCTCACTTGGACACCGGAGGGAAAGAGAAAGAAAGGGCGTCCAAAAAAACAACATGGAGACGAACGATGGAGAAGTGACCTAAGTGCTGCATCTCTGACATGGAAAGCTGCACTGAAGATTGCACAGGACAGGAAGGCATGGAAGGTCCTCTCTGAAGCCTCAGGTGTCACAAAGCATGAAGATAACTTATAATATCCTTTACAAAACGTTGCAGAAACAGTCCCAGCCAGATTTTTGACCGTGGCAAACAACTGGTCGTAAATTTGCCTAGAGAAACCACCCAACAGCCAGGGGCTGCTGGGGTTGGTTCTGCAACGTCCTGTAAAACTAACAAGAGAAACGCTTGTGATCCACGATTCTTCCAGCTGGCTTACCCATCCAAAGTTGATCTTATAAAATCCCATTCAGAAATACATTACTTTATCTATAGTGAAGAAAAGGACCGTTTCCCCACGCCTTCAGGCGTATTGGGCATATAGGGCTAGACCTATATTTTATTGACCAATCGGCACTTGGTGGGTGATGTGGTCAAGATCACTGGCGACTGCCTTTACTTCTCAGGACTGCACCTGGTACCCACTCAAAGCTGGGTCGTCCTGGAGGATTAATTTGTCTTTATTTATCTAACTCTAACTCACACACACACACAACACACATACACATATACACACACAAACACACACATATCAGCAGTTACTCAATGCTCAGTAAAACAACAAATGTCTGGTAAAACCACAACATATGCCTAGTAAAACCACAACACATGCCTAGTAAAACCACAACACATGCCTAGTAAAACCACAACACATGCCTAGTGAAACCACAACACATACCTAATAAAACCACAACAAATGCCTAGTAAAACCGCAACAAATGCCTAGTAAAACCACAAGAAATGCTTAGTAAAACCACAACACATGCCTAATAAAACCACAACAAATGCATAGTAAAACAACAACACATGCCTAGTAAAACCACAACAAATGCATAGTAAAACAACAACACATGCCTAGTAAAACCACAACAAATGCATAGTAAAACCACAACAAATGCTTAGTAAAACCACAACACATGCCTAGTAAAACCACAACAAATGCATAGTAAAACAACAACACATGCCTAGTAAAACCACAACACATACCTAGTAAAACCATAACAAATGCCTAGTAAAACCACAACAAATGCCTAGTAAAACCACAACAAATGCATAGTAAAACCACAACACATACCTAATAAAACCACAACAAATGCATAGTAAAACAACAACACATGCCTAGTAAAACAACAACACATGCCTAGTAAAACCACAACACATACCTAGTAAAACCACAACATATGCCTAGTAAAACCACAATACATGCCTAGTAAAACCACAACAAATGCCTAGTAAAACCCAACACAAACTGGTTCACATCGTCCTGCTTGGATATGTAGCCAACTGTCACAAACTCTAATGTATAACACTCTTACTCAGTTGCATAACAGTATTCACATAAATAACATTCGTTCTTCTTTTTGGCGTTCACCAACAGTACACTTTGGCGGTAAGTTCTGGTTGTTTGTCCACTTCTGGTGTTTGGTCTGGTTCTCGTGTTCCAGAACCTAAGTTTTGCGCGCACATCCGTTTTACAGATGTAGCTTATTTATATACAAACTATTGCCTTCTTGCTTCTCAGGTAGATGTACTCTGACTTCGAAAGAATTTAACATTGCTATTTAAAATAAAACAAAAAACAACGAAACAAAACCCAGGTGACCGAATGAAATGAAAACTTACACTTCAACTTCCTGGTGCATAGTTCATATATGTTTTGATACGAGGATGGCAGATCAAGTGTAATGTAATGTGGTTTATATATATAAAATAATGTTAGAAATGTGGCATCTGAAAATAGTCTATTCTAAATGTTGACGCCAAGTCTGGCACTGCCATATATCAAACTGAATTATCTTATTTTTACCGTGGCCGAATGACGTGGCGTCACGAACTAGTGAGTCTAATACTAGCTCACAGTGTGCATCGGTTATTTCTCGTGCAACGAGAGACTGCCAGAGAGCGAATATCGATAACAGGAATTATACTGGGAGTGCTTAGTTGACGCGCGCCTAAATTATATTTCTGTTTTCGCTACGTTGTTTTCCCTGACTGCATTCTCTGGGTTTTTTCCCCTTTGTGTTTTATATTTTGTTTTCGGTTACAATTCTTGTTTTTCACCCCATCTCGCTGATTGCGTGATTTCTTAGCGGTTCTCATGAGCTGTCCTATGTTGTAGGGGTGTCATGTGTT